GCGGCTCCCGGGAAACGGGGCCGTGCGTTCCTCAAGCCCGGAGCGCGCCGGTTGGACCGAGGCGTTGCGGGCTGCCGTGGCCGAGCTGCGCTCCGGCGCCGTGGTGGCCGTCCCCACCGATACGCTGTACGGCCTGGCCTGCTCGGCGAGTTGCTCGGCGGCACTGGGCGCTGTGTACCGCCTCAAGGGCCGCAGCGAGGCCAAGCCGCTGGCCGTGTGCCTGGGCCGCGTGGCCGACGTCTACAGGTAAGGCCTTCCCGACCCGGCCCCGCTAGGGGCGGCACCGCGGGAGGGGCTTCCGGTGACAGGCTTGGGAGACTGAGGCGCTGGAAGCGGGAGGGGCTTGTCCAGGCTCACCAGGAATCCGGAACTGGAAATGTGTATCGAGCACTTAACGTCTGCCAGGCCCTGAGCGAGACGCTGGGGCGCAGCGATGAACGAGGCAGGCAAGGCCCCTATTCTCCTATCGTTTTTGTGATTAATGAGGGGGGCTTCCACGTTAAAAAACAACAACCCACAAAACCAACAAACATGGCAGCTTAATTTAGTAGAGAGGGCTTTGAAGAAAATAAAACACGGAGTGTGATAATGGTGCAGCTGTTGTGGCCTCGGAGACCAGAGGCATGTGGGCGCCAAGCCTGGGGTGCTTCTCTGGAGCCCAACCTTCTGCTCAAGCTCTTAAGTGAAGAAGGAAGGCATGGATTCCATTGTAGTCCCTGGGTTCCCCTTTTCTAGTTCTGCCTAAAGTCTGGAATTGACCAGCAGTGGCCCTTCATTCTTGTAGATTTGTGCCCCCTTTGTTTTCCAGGTACTGTCACGTGAGAGTACCTGAGGGGCTCCTGAAAGACCTGTTACCAGGACCAGTGACCCTGGTGATGGAACGCTCCAAGGAGCTCAATAAGGACCTGAACCCCTTCACTCCTGTGAGTCAGATTTTCTCCTGTGTCTCCAGACTCCAGCCATTTGGCTTTCACAAGGATCCAGGCTGGACCCATTCCCTGACTCCTTCCAACCTTTCTCATGATCCCCTTTCACCTTGGTCATAGCTTGTAGGCATCCGGATTCCTGACCATGCCTTTATGCAAGACTTGGCCCAGATGTTTGGGGGACCACTTGCTCTCACCAGCGCCAACCTCAGCTCCCAGGCCAGTTCTCTGAAAGTCGAGGTGAGAGTTACCTGGGCCCCGTGTCCCCCATCCCCCCAAATGTCACCAAGCCAAACACAGTTTTCTCTGAACCAGTGGGGTTGATGGTTTGCTGGAATTGCCTGGCAGGAGAGTATAATGGTGGGAAGTCTGCCCAGTTGGCATGTTTCGGGTTGGGGGAATCCAAGTTAAAGAATCTTGGACAGGTTTTATTACAAAGTTTGAGAAGTGAGGGGGAAAATTGGTGTTTTCATCCTATTTTTTAAATAAGAAACATTACGAAAAGTATAATTTTTTCCCCTTTTTGTAGGGGTAGCAGTTATTGGAAAATAAGTTAGGCAGTATGTCTTTACAACAGTGCTGTAAAGAAAGTTAAGGCTCTGAAAAGTTAAATCACTTGTCTCAGGGACTCCTGATTGTATTATCTTACCTCTGCCATAAGCCAGGTCAAAGAAGGGATCATCCTAATCCTGCGTTAGCTGCATAGCTTAGAACAAATGAGGACACAAATTTAATTTACCACACTGTTTTCTTCGTACTGAACTTAAATGTAGGACCCCATAGTAAAGTGATGGGGTTTTCTGTGCCCAGACCTAGAGCCTTGGAAAGTGAGAGCTCAGTATCCCTTTTTATTCTCAGACTGCAGGCTGTTACTTGATCCTGGTGGCCATACTCAAAGCATTGGGGAAGGGATGGCAGGAGGTATTCTTACCTTTTCCGCAAGCAGTTGACTTATTCTACTGATATCCATGATTCCCCCATCCCAGATTCCCAGGCCCAACTGCCACTGTGATGTCTTCATAAGGGGTGAGAGCAGGGATGGGGGTTAGTGGGTGATGCTCTAGCTCAGAAAGGGAGTACCCTTTCCATAGCCCAAGTATTGAGTGTTGGTGGCTGGACCTGCAGAGTCCACCCTGTTTTCCTCCCCATACCGAGATCCAGAGTTGCACTGAGATCCAGTTGCTAGAGCTGGAAGGACCCTTAGGGACCATCTGATCCAGCTCCCTTATTTTGCAACTCTAAAGTAACCTGAATGTGAACACAGAGATTTGGTGGAAAGTCCAGGGTAGAGCCCATACCTTTGGGCTTCCACCTAGGACTCCAGTCATTGTACTTAGGTCAGACCTCCCCAACAGAAACAGTATGTGGAATTTCCTCCTGGTACAGCAAGATATTCTTTGAGCTCTAGATAGATGTTACTTGGGGTGCTAATTCTGGGGAGGGGAGACTTCAACCTCATTGTATGTGGTGTCCTAGGTGCTAATGTAGTGTCCTTAGCATAGCTGCCCTTAACTAAATGAAGTTCCTGCCCCTGCCTAGAGGAATGTGCCTACTGTTTTTGGGTTGTGTAGCCTTTGTTTTAGGTATGAACCCTGCCTGCAGTATGACATCATTGCAGATGCCAGGGGTAGTGTCCATGCTCTTCCTCTCCCTCTTCTTAGGAGTTCCAGGACCTCTGGCCTCAGTTGTCCCTGGTAATTGATGGGGGACCAATTGGGGATGGCCAGAGCCCTGAGTGTCGCCTAGGCTCAACTGTGGTTGACTTGTCTGTGCCTGGAAAGTTCGACATCATTCGTCCAGGCTGGTGAGTCTCTATGGCATGGGGATAGAATTTGAGGGAGGTTGGGAGGTGCAGAAAAGATCTTGACAAAATAAAGGTTGCCACACTCTCTTGCTCAGACAACCTTTATTTTGGAGAAGTGGTGGGTAAAGTGAGACTACATTTGCTGGCATTTGCTGGCTTTTTCAGGATTCAAAAGGATTCATCAAGGGTTTGATGAACATAGTATAGTAAGACCAGAGAGTTTAGTGCTCCCTGATCACTGGACTCTAGTGGGCTGTGAGAAGTCAGACTCTTAACTGTCCTCCATTTCCTCCTCAGTGCCCTGGAAAATACTACAGCTGTCCTCCAACGGAAGTACGGGCTGCTCCCCTCACATGGATCCTGCTTCTGAAACTCGGGAGGCAGGGGGGCCCAGGGACTGATGCTGGACACTGTGTGTCTGTCCACTGGTAGCTGGCAAGGCCTCATTTGCAGAGGCCTCTGGGGCCATAGCATTACTAGTCTGACACTTTTAAGGCAGTTTGTCTTTCTGAACACTGTAGACCAGGCTCCAGAAGCTGCTGGTTTAGCCTCACACGTCGGGAAGGGGGCTATATTTATTATAATTTCGTATGTCAGCCGAAAGCTGAAGAGAGACTTTTTAAGAACATTCCTAGGATGCTCTCTTATTCTGATAAGCTTCTCTCCCTTTTTTTTTTTTAAAAAAAAATTTGAAACAATTTAAATAACATTTGGAATCTAGTGAGAGGTGGTGGCATTTAAGGTCCAAATGAACTAGATGACCAGCTGGTGTTGTTTAAAAGTCTCAAGTGAGCCTGGCTGGTGTTGCTTAGTGGTTGAGCACTGACCAATGAACCAGGAGGTCAGGGTTCGAGTCACAGGGCACATGCCTGGATTTCAGGCTCGATCCCCAGTAGGGGGCATGCGGGAGGCAGCCAACTGATATTGATGTTTCTCTCTCTCCCTCTTTCTAAAATCAGTAAAAACATATATTTTTAAAAGTCTCAAGTAACCAAAGGCATAAGTTTTGTGCTTGTGAAGCTGAAACCAGGTTAGCATAAAGATTGTAGAGCTACAGGCCAAACACTGTTTCCTCTGAACTAGGGGCTGGTGGTGTGTCGTGCTCTAATTGCCTGGTGAAGAATCATCATTTTGGTCTAATGGTGGGAAGTCAGCTCAGTTGGCAGAGAGTGAGATGAGGAGTGGGAGGTGGTGTCCAAATTAAAGAGTATTGGAAAATAAATATTATCTCTCTCAGACTGACTTTTTCTTATTTATAAAATAAATTATAATACTTTAATTTAAATCCAGTGTCTACTTGGCAGCCTTTTGTATTCATATGTATACCAAGTGTTAAACACAGTTACTGTTGGGCATTTGAACTTTGTTTTTTTTAGTAGAAAATAATGCTGCTCTTAAACATCTTTCAAAGTGGTTTGATTTTCTTCTTTGAATTATTTCCTTAGCGTAGGATTACTAGGTCAGAGTGTATGAACATTTTCATGGCTCTTGATCTAGATTAGCCTTCAAGAGAACTGAATCAGGTTGCCGTCAGCAACATGAGAATTGCTTCCCCTACTTGCTGGGGCATTGCCGTACTTCCGGCATTTTTCAAATTGTGTATTTGTGAAATGAGGCCTCGGTGTTACTCCTTTCTATAAATTACTACGAGTCACCAGCCCTTTTCACCTGTCCTTGCTTGCCTTGGTTTTCCCAACTAAGTCACAAGCAAGGTGATCAGGGCTGCCTCGTCCATCTGTGGGATTTAGTATCAGTTACTTAACTGCAGCTGGGAGTCCTTCTGGTAGCCAGTAGGGCCCACTACTTCCCCTCTGCCTTGTACCCCAGTTCCCAGAATTGAGATTCAGTCTTGAGCCCACAAACTTCTCAATATAGTGGTTTTCAATGTACATATTTTCAAGTAGATCCTAAGAATCTTGCCAAGAAGGTGTCCCAGGACCTGCTTTGAGTGTCTGCAATTAGCACATCAGTTTATTTGTAAAGAAGTAATGGTTTGTTAAATATCCCCCCTAGAAATCTTGCTTACAGATTTCTTAAGCAAACTCACTCATTGTGCTAACACTAGCCATCCCACATGTCAATTTGCCAGAATCTGACTAGGATCAGAATTTGAAGTCTTGAAGAGATCAGGAGGAAGTTCACTTGAGAATACCACATCATTTAATTAATACAAATCACAGTAGCACTGAAAATGGCTCTAGCAAATGGGCCTCGTTCAGTTTAGGCAGCTAAAGGGAAGGGGGGTGTCCCAGTCCTCTCCCTGGAGCTAAATGTTCATCTGGGAAAACGGAGGCTCAAAGCACAGAGGTATTTTCTTAGAGGAAACAGAGCTCCCAGCAGTGGTTAAAACTGCAAAAAGGAAAAACCTATAGCTGTGCTTCAGCACTAGCTACAAGGCCATACTAAATAAAGGAAGCTGGATCCTGTAAGTTGAAGACAGGAACCATTCCTGGTCATTTGCTCCCAGCACATAGTAAGGTTCTCGGTTAGTCTGTGTTGAATGAATGTGTGAGTGCTCAGGATTATTTCCTGAAAATTGGGTTCAGGAATCTACTGGGAATCGCTTAAACCTAAGAATTTCACTTTTAGGAAGTCTCAAATATGGTTCCCTAACTTGGACAAGATAGACGATATGGCAGGGAGGCCTGAAGAGAGGACGGAGGCTGGCAGAAGGGAGCAGGGTGCATGCTGGCCCAGAACCCTGGCACCCTTCTAAGAGCAGTGGCTTGGTGACTCCACTACACCACAGCAACCTGCTGAGTTCAAAGCTAGAAGGGATTATTTTAGTGTTCTGACTGGATGTGAAGCTTCCCTGGGCTAAGTCCAGTCACCTGCCAGCCCTGCAGTTTCCTCTCTGGAACACTGCCCTGTTTCCTGTCTGCCCAGCAACCCCAGCACTGCCTGCCTGAGGAACAGGCTCTGTTCCTACCTGGGCCCAGGCCTGATGGCCCACAGAGGCACCCAGCTGCTGACTTGGAGACTGAGTGCCTGCAACCTCAGCAGAGCCCCACATGGGGACAATATTCCAGTGAGGCTGGGACATCAGGACTTCATGCCCTGTTTGCAGGCCCCTCACATCAGCCACTGCTCCTTCTCTTTGATGAAGTGCTCAGCCCAGCGGCGAGTTAGCTCCAGGTACAGGCTGGGCTGGTGAGGCAGGTAGTCCAAATACAGACGAGTCGGTGTCTTCTTGGGAATGGCCTTCTCAATCTGGGTGCCCTCGTGCCACTCATTGAAAGAGGTGATGGAGACAATCTCGGGCCTCACGGTCAGGGCTGCCTGCAGGGCTGTCTCATAGTACTTGCCATTGACCCTGTTCCGCGTGTTGTGATTATTCCAGGGCCGGATGCTGGTGTCAATGTAGCCAGGCCCCACGCTAGGAATGAACATGAGGTTGTTGGCATCGCAAAAGTTCTTCACAGCTTTCCAGTTCTGATGGGAGGAGCCGAAGGAGAAACCATTGGAGGCAAAGTAGGTGTACATGCCATCGAAACCAGCGGCCAGGATGTCGTGGGTGTGGCCCTCCTCCACCAGCAGAGCTATGAAGACCGCATCATAGGGAGTGTTGCGGATTGAGTGTGGCCCGTCTGGTGTCAGGAGATGGGCCCAGGCCTCAGGGGTTGTCAGGTATGAGTCATAGATATAAAAGAGTGGGAGGCTCTTACCCATGCTGTTCTTATAGCGGTAAAATGCGCCATGGGAGCCATACCTGAGGAGCAGGAGGAAGAAGAGCCTGAGCTGGCTGCCTAGGGTGGGAGAAGCCAGCACAGCTGTGGGACTAGCCATGGATGAGAGCTTTCCTGATGCCTGAGCACGATTTTGGATCCAGCCAGACACCATAATTGGACTGTCATGCCTCTAAGTAAGAACCTAGTTCCCTCCCTCCTCTCCCCACCCTTGTCACTCCTTTATTCAAGCCTCGCCTCCCTGCCCTAGGTCAAGCCACCACCATCTTTGATCTGTTCTGCAGGCTCCCACTTTTACTTCCTTATAATCCATTCTCTCTTTAAAGTCTAAATCAGATCTGATTGCTCTTTACCAAGACCTGCAAGGCCCCACCTACTTGATCTGGCCCTGCCCACCTCCATTCCTGCAGTTATCCTATCTGTCTCTACACTCCAGCTACACTGGCCTTTCTAGTCTGCTGTCAGGCCTGTCCCGTCCTATGACCTTTGGATCTGACAGCCCTCTGCCTGGAATTTTCTGCCTGCCTCAGATTGTTGAAGAGCCGCCTCTTCATGTAGGTGTTAGCTCACATGTCATCTCAGAAAGCTCACTTGACCATTCATTCTAAAGTACTTTTTGGACACACTCTAACACAGCACCCTTATTACTTTTTCATAGTATGGATGGCTATTTGATTTTTTTATGTATAATTACTCTCTGTTCCACTGCACCCACTACATACACTAGAATGTAAACTTTATTAGTCCTACCCATTACTGTACAACTGGAGCTTAAGGCAGTGCCTAGACACCTAAAGGCATCCAATAAATATTTTTTGAATGAATGAATGACATGGGCAAGCAGTGTACAAGCCATTTTCACATGTCTTAACTCATGTAACTCTCACAAGACTCACAGGGTAAGAGGCTTGTTTTTGTTACAGATTGGAGGCCTCAGCACCAAAATTCAAACCCATGTTGCTGATTCTAAGCCCAGTACTCTCTTACTATAAAATAACTGCTGGGGACACATTCTACCCTTGTGTCTCTTCACCTGCCCCTCCAAACCTATCCCTACTCCTATTTTGATCCCCACCAACATCTGTGCCCCAGAGCAGCCTTACTTGTCAATGATGTACTTGATGTTGTCATGCAGAGTGATGTCATCCCGGCCCTTGTAGGGTTGGATGTGGAAGGCCACCTGCCACAAACAGGAGATACTGGTCAGGTGAATATCTGTCCAGGGGTCACAACCTATAAGGCTTATGCTCCAGCGATGGCCTATAGGAGAGGCTGAGTTCAGGAGAGGGCCTGCAATGGTGGGCACAACAGACCTAAAAGCAGCCACTGCCCTCAGGGCCAAAAAGAGAGGGGCAAGAACTTTGCCCACCTCCCACAGCTGGGCATCTGGGAATCATTCTGATGGGCTGCGGCAGAATGGCTAATAGGTTTCAACTTGTGTGCCAGTTCCAAGTGATTGGCACTAGATGCCTAAAACTATGGGAAAAAAGTATACTGAAGCTGTGTCAATGGAAAAATGTACTATGACCTGTTAAGTGTATTGGTGATGGGCTCAGGAATGGGAGTAGGGCTCTTCACTGTTTTTCTGCCACAGGAGAGGAGAATGGCTTATTTAATTGGTACATTTGGGGAAAATAACTGGACATGCTTAGCTAAGCTCCCTCATTCCTCTTGAAAGTGTTCTTGCCTGCTGAGAGCATGTGTGCTCTGCTCCTTGAGGCCCACCACTACCTCCCAGTAGGAAGCTGAGGCTGGAATTGTTTGTGCACCCATCTGGCCCTTGCTTGCCCTCTGTCCAGTCAGGGTCTCCAACTTAGTCTCTATTATTGTGATATTTAGTCTCCCATTTTTCCTATATTTAGTTTCCCCAACTTTTTTCAGAACTGAAGAAAATAAGAGGGACATAGGCAGTATTTATGAGAACCCCACCCCCAACACCATACTTGGGTGGAGGCACTATCTCTAGAGCAGAAGAGGGGAAATCTCCAGGATGGTCCAGAGGGAACTTGATCTCTTCTTGAAGACTCACCTGGATGTTGTACTGATGGGCGGTGTCCAGAATCGCAGGCACCAGGTCATCTGAAGGTTCTCCATTATCATCAGCCATGCCGGGTGGATACCAGGACAGGACCAGGACTCCTGAGACACAGCACAAGCTACTTCAGAGACACACGGTAACCCCGCATCAGAGGTTTGTTTCTTCACAAACCATCTCCAACTGCAAAATGGTTTCTGAATGAAACCTGAGAGTAAGGCTCCTGCCAGGCTCTCTTCTGCAGATCAGATTCCAAAGCCTTGGTCCTGGAGCTGTCCTCCCCGCGGTGCTGAAGCGCAGCGGCTGGGGCAACCTTAACGCACCAGGCCTGGAAGGAGCCTGAGAAAAGCCCAGGTAGGTGCTCAGCTTTTGCTGACGTTAGCAAGTATTAGAACAAAGGGAAATGGGTGGACAATGCCACACCCACCCAGAATCCACAGTCCTATCCCTGGAAGAGAGGAGTGCCTCTGAGGTCCCGAGGGGGAGAAGAGCCCTGAACAGAGAGGTCCATCTGATTCTTCCCGTGGGAAATAGCATTTGTCTAGACTGTCTGCCCTTCCAGACTGTAAAATCCTGCAGGAGACAGGCTTTATTAATCTGTGAATACCTCCCCTCAGTGTCTCTGGCATTCAGTTTTTTCCCTCACTCACTGATTGTTTCCAGGTAAGTTGAAATGTAAAATCCAGCAGAATTCAGTGACAAAATCTGAAACAGGTGAGCCTCTCACCCCAGCCTGCCTACAAAGGAGGCGCCCAGGGACGTCTTTTCAAGCAGAACACTTGAAGAAAAGCTCCTGGACCCCACACTGCAAACAGAACAGAGTCCATCATGCAACGTGGGCAAACTCCTTCCTGCAGCCAGAAGCAGGGAGGGCTGCTCCACCCGGGAGCTGGTGTGAAAGCAGCGCCATCCCAGCCGCTCCTCCTCTGAATCCCAGACTCCTGCGGCCAGGCTATCCAGGCTTCACTAACCCAAACCTAGAAGCCCAGCAGACGTGCAGACTCTGCCTCCCCCTCGCCGTCCGTGCCTGGAACAGCTCGGGCCCAGCCGCCTTCCCCGGCTCTCCCAGCAGCTGCGCCCCGCGCGAGGGCCTGGAGAGCTGCGGGTCAGGAGGCGGGGTGGGTGCGCCTGAGCACTGGAAAGGGGGGCGGTGCTCGTGGAAGGGGTAAGACACCAGGCTGAAGGGTGAGTGGGCCAAGGCCCCGGTGGCTGGACCGCGGGGAGTTGCGGCGGAGGAAGGAGGAAGGGCGAGGCTGGGGCGCCGGGGCGCTGGGCGGGAGACTCACCGACGGCGGCTTCCGTGAGCTGGGTCATGTGCTCCCGCAGCACGTCGGGGTCCCGGGAGCTGTAGGGCCCCAGCTCCGGGTAGAAGCTGGAGCCCAAGTCGTCGGGGGGACTATGGCGGCCGCGGGGGTAGCTGGCCGAGATCTTGGGGTCCCAGTGCGGCACCATGACGTGGTCCCAGTGAATGTAGTGGCCCTCGCGCCGCGGGCTCCCGTACCACGAATAGTAGAAGGCGTGCAGGTCCGAGTAGACGCGCAGGCTCTGCCC